ATGTAGTCATTTGTGGGTAATTTTCAGCAGGTTCTTGTTTGCATGTTATAGTAATGATATTGTTCAAGTAATTTCCACACTGTCAGGTCACCCTTCTTTGGAATGGAAATAAATATAGATCTCCTCTAGTCAACTGGTCAGGTAGCTATCTATGCTCCTGATTGCTTGGTATAAGCTGGTTAGTGCACCAAAGGTACTATCTGTTTGCTGTCAACTGGTATGCCATAAATTCCTAGGGCCTTGTATTTTGCCAATTACTTGAAAGCAGCTTGAAATTCCATCACCATTGGCTCTTGAGCATATACTGTTACATAAAATACTTCTGTGTCAGCCAATTCTTTTGGGTATAGTGATTCTGTGTACTCCTTCTATGTTCTCTTGAGGCTTCCTGGGTCATTCAACATTCTGCCCATGGAACCCTTAAGTACTGCCACTTGAGGCAGATCTGCTGCCTGCGAACTCTCATTAGTTCTTTTGGGTATAATGTTTGTTTGTCACATACTGCTCTAAAGCTGAGCAGACTAAGGAAAAGGACTGGCCATACACTCCTGAAATAATAGGACTTCAAAACCGCTGTACAACACAGCACATTTAGATCAGACTATAAGATATGGCACTGGAAGCTGAGCCTTCTTCATATTGGAAATCACAAAGAGGAGAAACAACTGCAGACAGACACTAGTGCCTAGAACATGGAATGAGAGAATTATCAATGTAGGAAAATTGGAATTGTTAAGGAAGAAATGGAGCACTTAAATATTGACCTACTACCCATTAGCAAAGTGAAATGGATTGGCATGGGACACTTTGAATCAGATAATCATATGATTACTATGCTGGAAATGAAAAGGTGAGGAAAAGTGGATCACGCTCAGAGTTAAAAAGATCATTTCTAGATCCATCTTGAAATACATGTTGTGAGAGGATAATATTCATAAGCATACAAGGAAGACTTGTTGATTTTACTATCATTCACATTTATGCACCAACAACCAGTGTCAAAGAGGAGGAAACAGATGGCTTCTATTAACTGCTCAATCAAAATTAGATCAAGGTGCACTATGTGTGACTGGAATGCAAAAGTTGGGAATAGGGAGGAAGCCTCAGTAGTTGGGAAGCATGCATGGACATGGTGACAGAAATGAGGCTAAAGACAGAATAATAGAATTGGGTACAATCAATTATTTATTCAGTGCAAATACCTTTCATAAGAAACGCAAATAGTGACTACACTCATGGACCTCATTCGATGGCCTGCACAGGAATCAGACTGATTACATCTGTGGGAACTAGACAGAACATATGTATTAATGGTGAAGGGGAAAACAATATGCAATATGGAGGAAGTCAACACATTATGACCAAAGTAAAGGAGAACACCAAGAGGACTTCAAAAACTAAGGGCTCTGATGGCTCTGATGGCCTAGTGGCAAAAAGCTGCGTGCAAACCTGGATGAACATGGTTTGAAGCCACCATCTAATCTGTGGGAGAAGGCTAAGGAATCTCCTTCTATGCAATGAATTACCTCCAAAAACTCACTGGAGGGTCAACTATGGGTTGGATGCGACTCTACAGTACACAAAAACAGCAGAAACATTATTCAGAAAGAGGGAAGATAATAGAATTAAATGAAATGAAGAGAGTGGTTATAGTTTTTGCCTTGGAAGCCTTCTTTACAAGCAACCTTTATGAATAAAAGTGTACTTTATAGAGCATTCTCTATACAGGTTACTGGTGCTGAGAGCAGTAAATTAAGAGATTATGACTGCACTGTATAAGGAGACTCCAAAGAGTAAAGAACGAACTCAAAAAGAAGCACTAAAGATAAAGAAACAGAGTATGCTATGGAAAGCCGTTATAATTTGAGAAAATGTGTATCACTATCACACAGAAGAGTTAAAACAAGCACACTCATTGTGGAAGAAGTCTGTACATAAAACAGAGAATAACAAATAAAAATAAAAGATTAGCACTTTGTATCCAAAACTAATGATACAGATACATTGTTGGGTTTTTTGGACTTGGTTTAAGTTATAGAAGTTATGAGTGATTCCTGTTTTCTAATGAATTTTGTAAAAGCAAGTGTTTTCACACAAGGCTCTGCCCTAGAAAATGTTAGTGAGAAGTAAAATCTTCTCCACTATTATCAGGTGAAATAATTTATCAAGTGTCTCCATTATTAACAATCACAAATAAAGGCACTCGGTATCACTTGGAATGTGAGAATGGAAAATGTACGAATGCACAAACCTATAAAGAATATATCTAAGTACTTAAAAAAAATGTCAATGAACCTGAAGAAGAATTGGTGGACATAAATATGAGATCTGGTATATATACCATAAATGGTTTAATACATTAAGCTCTTAAGGTTACATCTCAAAAATTAAGTTTTTATTTATGTTTTAAAATTGAATAGAATTGAGTAGAAAAAATTAGTAAGGCATTCATTCTGCATAGCTTGTTTGTATGTACTGATTGTACATAATAAAAAAATCCTTTTCTTCTGATTCCAGAACAACCTATCTATGTAGAACCAGAAAAAAAAAACCAAATTGAGATTGTACACAGCTTTAGTTTGCTCGGTTCCACAGTCAACAGTCTTGGCACCAGCAGCCAGGAAATTAAAAGGCACATTGCCATGGGAAAGTCTGCTGTTAGGGACCTCTCCAAAGTACTGAAGAGCAATGGTGTCTCTCTGGAGACTAAGGTGCATCTGATACAGGCCACGGTCTTCGCAATCACTTGTTATGCATCAGAGAGTTGGACAATGACCAAGGAGGACAGAAGAAGAATTGAGCCTTTGCACTGTGGTGCTGGAGAAGAGTATTGAGAATACCATGGACTGCTAGGAAAACAAACAGATTTGTCCTAGAAAGAGTTAAACTGGGTGGCTCCTTGGAGGCAAGGATTCTGAGGCTCCGTCTAACATACTTTGGGCATGTTGTGAGGAGAGACCGGTCCTTGGAGAAGGGCAACATGCTTGGGAGGGTGGAGGGACAGCGCAGGAGGGGAAGGCCCTCTATGGGGTGGATTGATTCAATGACTGGGATAATCAGGATGGGAGTGTCAGAGACAGTGCGATTGGCACAGGACAGAGCAGAGTTTAGGGCTGTTGTACATAGGGTCGCTATGAGTCGCAAGTGACTCAACAGCACATAACAACAACAACAACAACATAACTACAGGTGAAAACCTGAACTTTCCTTTATTTTTAATAAGCCCAAAGCTGAGATAATGATTTGGTTTGACTCATTTCTTGGATTTTAAGACATTGTACTGAACTCACTCCAAACTTTTCAACAGAATACAACCATGTATATTTGAGCTTCTTCTGTTGATTACTGTATTCCCAGTGCCTAAAATATACAGTATGCATTCAAAAAATACTGATATAAATTCTACATAAAAAAATGTTGGTTGAATTATTTGCATTATTTTAGAGAAGACTTCAATGTTAACATTCCTTAATGCTAAAACTACTGTTTTAAATACACTGAAATCTCCATATAAAGATGACAATGACATCACAGTTTCATTAGTCTTCATATTGCACTTAGTACATGTCATAGGAGAAAACTTCATCTTCAGATAGTTTTGTTTTCGAGATGATATGCATACACCAAAATATATATACAGGTATATGTATGTGAGTGTTGTGTGTGTAAATATGCTGTTGTTGTTATTGTTATGTATCATGCAGTTGCATGTGACTTATAGCGACACTGTGTACAACAGCTCTGAAGCCTGCCCTGTCCTGAGCCAGTCTCACTGACTCCAACTACCCCTACGGTTCCCATTACTGTATCAATCCATCTCATCCAGGGTCTTCCTCTCCTGTACTGTCTCTCCACCCTTCCGAACATGATTTCCTTCTATATAAAATCTGTTTTATGAGATTAATAAAACCTTAGAAAGTCGTATACTCAAAAAAAACCTTGTTTCCCAAACATAACAACCTTCTATCAGATTTCTAAGGCTGAAAATCAAAGGTCTGCTGTGAGCTGGCATCAACCCATGGGCACCTAACAATAACAAATCTTTACACGAAGACTGCTCATCTTTCTCCTGAGGAGCATACAGTGACTTAAACCCCCAGCCTTCTGGTTAGCAGGACAATACATAATACACTATGCCAGAAGAGTTCCTTCGATAGTTCTGTAGTGCTTCACAATTCAAAAGACATTTCAATATTTAACTATATATATATATATATATATACATACACACACACACACACACAGATGCATTATCAAGAGTTTATATAAATACATGGGTGCTATAACATTGTATTTACATATATTTTTATAAAGCATTATTACCTATTCATACCTGAATATAAAACCAAAACTAAGAAACTCGGTGTCATGAAACTTACAAGTGACAGATTATCTACGTGAACCTGGGGTCTCTAAACTCCACACTCAGGTGAATTCTCTACTTGATTTTAGCTAGATATCTCAAACATAACAGGTTGAAATAACACTAACTTTACCCTAATCAGCACTGTCTTTGTAATTTTCTTCTAGCAGAAAAGCAGTAGTTAGTTAAGAAAGATTTCAATGTATTGAAAGTATGGTAACAGATCATCAGGCTGTGGTTAGGTGTTTAAATTAATTAACTCTTCAAACTATTTTCTTTTAAACAAATAAGCAATTTTAAGAAAAGTGTATTTTATTTTAAAAGCTTAATTTTACTTTTAAAATAGTTTGCTATTTACTTTTAAATGGTGTATTAAGGGAAGTTTTATTCTGATTTCCTATAAAGGGCCAAATATGAACACCAATCAATGAAACAGTGCTCCAGCAGTGAAGTAAAGGGTGCCTGCATCCATACTAATGTAACCGACTAAAAGAAATAGAATTCTTTTTGTCCTTATTCTGGCCAACACCATGCTATTCAAAGAGGAAAGGCTAGAGAAAGGCGCTCGCAGATGCAACTTTCATGCCCAGCACTTGTTTCCTCAGATCAGAACCACACACAATCCATCCAGCCTCACCTCGCTGTCTCCTTCCACTCCATCTCCTGCCCATCCACAGACAGCAGTTCGTCCAACTCGGTGAAGAGCTGGGGGGGTGCGGGGCTGTCATCCTCCTCTCCCAAGATGAATCGAATGCGTTCTGCTGCGGGGGAGACTGCAGAAGTGAAAATACTGTGGTTAAACACAGGCTGGACAACTCTGAGAACAGTGTAGCTCCGGGCTTTTCCTCCCTCAGCCAGGCTGTTGGCCTTCCCTTCCACATTTTCAGTGGACATCTTCCCTTCTGAGTCTGCTGAGCCCCAACGAAAAGGTGAAAAGAAATAAAAAACTCGTCTCTATTCTTTTGGTTCTAAACTGTATCTCAGCTCTGTACCGCTCCTCAGGACAGCGCTCCAGGTCTGTGTGGTGTGTGACAAAGAACCTTTAGTCCTCAGATGAGCTGAGGTCCAATCACAGGACTTTCTTTCCTTCCCAACTCATGACCCATCCAAATTATCTGAACGAAAACCAGTCTGAACCAATCACTTTGTCCTAGAGCAGTGGGAGTGGGCAGTGGAGCACCCCAATCCTGAGTTTCCCCGGGGCCTCCACCTCCCACCCACGCTCACCGTGTCCAATGCCTAATGCCTATGATTTGCAGGCTCCTTACGCCCAAAACTGGCTAACTACAAAGTTGATGAAGGAATATTTAACAAGACCAGGTCGCTTCTTTACATAATGGCACAACCCAAAAATGTTTAGTCATACCTCAATGCACATGAAAAACAAGCCCAAGTAAAATATTGTACACCTAAGTTTAAAAAAAGAAAAAATGTCCAACACACTCCAGCACATAATTAAATGCCCTACTAGCTCCTTTTGACCCTACCTCCTGAAAATCATGTAATAAAAAATTAACTAAAATTTCCCCCATGTCATGGGTTATAATCTCCCCCCCCCCTTAAAAACGGATTTACAGCCTCTGAAAATTCACTCAAGGGTCAACGTTAAGTCTGTTCTGACTTGATAGCACATAAGAGTATCATCAAAAAATTAACATGGATTCATCTAAATAAATTCTTGTTCTTGTTCTTGTTCTTGTTCTTGTTCTTCTTGTGTGCCAGAGAGTGAGAAACAACCCACAGCTGACCCTCTAGCAGGTCTAGATTTCTATTTTTTTCATGTACTCCAAGTAATACAAAATGAAAAAAATAAAACCACAAAAATTGTATAAAGTTGCATACAGTGATCCCCACTGTGGTAAAGAAAAACATATATACATGTTTATACACACACACACACAAAGAGTCCTTCTTTTTTTCCAGTTCTAATATGTACATCTTTCAGTCACCTCCATGTAATTAAATAGCAACAGCACCCCAATAACACAGTTTAAGTTTCAGTTACCATGGTATGTTAACTCTGAGTACTTCCATTAAGAACCAGTATCACTGATAGGTTTTCAGTGTATGAATCACTACAAAAATTTCTCTAATTACCTCCTTAAGATGCTTGTTTGATTACTAAGGTATTCCTGACCCAAGTCAAGGCCTATTTAATAGCCTCACAAGCCTATGACAGCTGAATAGTTAAACAAGAACTGGAAAGAACCAAAGCATGTAAATTGTAGTGCTATGAGGCTATGAACAGCTATGAGGCTTTCTTTAGCTTCCTTTGGACATTTTCTAGGGAGGGATTCATCCCAAGAGAATGACATCATGTTTGGAGAAGGAAAGTGTCAACATGAAAGGAAGACTCTCAATGTGATGGATCCACAATGGCAGAAACAATAGAGTCCAACATAGTATGTGAGGCCATGTCTGTTCTGTTACACACACAGTCACCATGAGCTGAAGCTGGGTCAACAGTATGTACAACAGTAACAATCATGGTCAGTGACTAATCACAGAACTTCTTCAAAGACCGTCGATGACTGCTCATTGCACATTCTTTATTCAGTTAACACAGACAGCAAAGCAAGTAGATGTGTTACCTCCTTATCTCTCAGTAATAAGAAAACACAGTATTTTACAAAAATGAACAGGCAAAATAGGAAATAAGCCAACAGAGATGAAAGTGCAGCAAAGAAACAAAAAAATCATACCACTGAAAGTGAAATGTAAACTGAATATAAATGGAGATATATATGAAACATTTGAGAGATTCCAGCTTTACACCCACAGAAACTCACACAGAGCAAACTTACCAATATGAGGAAAACAGCTGTACTAAAAGACAAAGGTTTCCCAATATACGAGACATTACCAGAGAAGTTCACATTAAAGAAACCCTAGGAGGCATTTCATAACACTGGACAGTAAAGAGTAAAATGCTGGAAGCTCATGTTAACTTTAAAAAATAATAGTGCTTTGTCTCACATATTTTAGATGTATTATCAGGAGGAATCGGCTCCTGGAGAAGGACATCATGTGTGGAAAAGATGATCAACAAAAACCTGGAAGTCTCTAAAGGAGACAGATTAACACAGTGGTACTACCATTAATGGCCCTGGAGAGGGTGAAACCAAGTTGCTACTTGGAAGCAAGAATTCTGAAGCGTCATCACATGTACTGTGGGCATGCTGCCAGTCCTTGAAGAAAGGATGTTTAGAAGGGTGGAAAGACAGAGTAGGAGAAGACGACCATGGATGATATAGACTGGCACAGTAAGAGGGGTTATTCTATACACAGAGTTGCTACATGCAGAACGAACTGGACAACATCAAACAAGAATATAACAATTCACACAAGTATATGCAATTTTAAAAAAAAAAGAAAAAGGTATTTGTTTCACACTGTAAATTAATATTTCTAAGCCACTTTAATTCTCAGTATTTCCAATATTTTAAATTATAGTAAACTAAAAAAAATTAGCCTTTTTCTCCCCATTTTTCTATACTCTGGTGCCATAGTCCACAACCATGTTGTTCTACTAACCAAAAGGCTAAGCATCTCTGTGGTTTGAATCTACCAGCTACTGTGAAACAGAAAGACAGCAGTCTCTACCTGTTGAGATTTATAGCCTCAGAAAACAGACAAAAGATGGTTGTCAGAACCAACTTAATAGCAGTGAGTTTTTGTGGTATTTTATATAGCCAACAGGAAGAGAGATTTTTTTAAATTTTACAAAAGTCTTAAAGACCATGAAGCAATGTATTTTCTCATTGTTTATCAGCATTATTTTGCACAATTTCAGGTTCTGCAATCATGTTTCTGATGGTGGTGTTTGCCTTCAAGTCAAGCACGACTCATAGTGACCCTATGAACAAAAGGCCTGAAGCCCCTCTATAACTATCCACATTTATCAAAGTTCACAGAGTTTCTGGAGGCCAAGTTATTTAGGAAGTGGATGCCACTCCTACCGAGACAGTATATAAATCTTTTCAATTCCATACAGTTTATAGCCAGGCTTCTATTTTCTTCCTTTGACTTTTGCATAACTCGTCATTGTTGTTATTATGGTTATACACTGCTGAGTTGACTCTGACTCCCTATGTTCCTATGTACAACACCTCTGAATGAGCCAATTTCATCATCTCTGACACAACTATCCCCATTACCCTAATCACTGAGTCAATCCATCTCAAGCTCTGAAGAGAAAGCAAATAATTTAACAAAAAAATATCTGTTCTTACCATGTGTATTGTTTAATTGCATGTTTGCAGAGGTTAAGCCAACAAACAGTAATAAACTGTTATTTATGGAAGCAGACTGCCACATCTTTCTTCCAAGAAGATGCTAGTGGATTGGAGCTAGTGGATTGGTGGATTCTAGAAGCTAAGAGCTTATTGACAAGTGGTTCTGAAACTACAAACACTAACTTGTTTTGCTTCCCATTAGCACTCAACATCAAGATAACTGTCATCAAACTATAAGGTGAAAAAGTCAAGGGGGTAGCCAACTTTTTGCCTATTTTAACACGTTGCCACAAATGACGGCTATGTGTGTTTCTAAGCAAAGTTGTCAATTTAAAAGTGTACAGCAAAGTGTAAAGATGTGATGTGTTTTGTACCCACAGCTAATTAATGTTTCTCCAGCTTAATGTAATTTCTAAAAAATGGAATGGAAAAAGAAGGGACTTTTACACCCAGGTCTTATTCTCAAGAACCACATTGAAAGCATTCATTGTTTTGCTATTTATTAAATATAGATCCCTGAAAGGCAGGTTATCACAATAAACTCTGAATAAAATTTTACGTCATAAGTTAGTGTATTATTCTAGGAAGTTTCTTTCTTTAGCTACTCCACTCAACATTCCTAAGAAATGGAAGTAACAATTTGGTATCATTCTTTAACATGGTAGAAACATCCTCTGTGGCCAGTAAATGTATTTCTTAACTGCTAACATCATTTTGACAAAAATGGATGTGAAAGGTGTGGGTCTCCAACATGAATTTATTTTCCTCGTCACTTCTTAAATTTCTTTTCCCATCATTTGCAAACAAATGGCTGTTGTTGTAAGGTACAAAGGAATGAGTTCCATTTTATAGGAGGCCTATGCAGAACACAGCAGGAAACGTCGTAAAATGAGCTAAATATAAGAGATATCGTCAAGATTGAGAATATAAACTTTGGATCCAGGCAGCCTGTGAATCCTGACTAACTAGCTCTGTTACCAGAAACAAGATAATTAACCTCTCATTGTTTATTTCCTCATCTGAAAAATTAATGATAACAAGTATTATGACAACGCAGCATTTAAAGGAGACAGAAACTGACCCACCTTATTAACAAAATCTAGCTCTGAAGAAAGGAAAGTCACAGATATGGTTTTAAGACACAGTTTTGTTAAAGAGAGAAAAGGAGAAACATCATGGTATATTCGACTTTAGAAAATTAAGTGCCTTCCGAGAGGAGAATGAAAAAGGTGTACATGCATTTAGGGAAGTAGACAACAGCAAACAGAAAGAATGACAACCCTGTAGCCTTATCTTAATACCTGGTGGATTAAAAAATAAAACTGGCATTTAATATGACTACATTATGATAAGAACAAGTTTCATCATAAAGAGGATATTAACAAAAAATAAAAGAAAGTGAGAGAGATTAAGTAACAGGCAAATTATAATCTAAACATCCTTGGCCAAGCATGAGGCCTACAGATCAAAGCTAAAATAAACCTCTAATCTTAGATTTTATTTACTTTTTAAAATTTCTTTCCTCTGATGAGAATGTA